AAAAGCGCGACCAATAAAGGATACCTGACTCCTGTCTCTTATACACATCTAGATGTGTATAAGAGACAGAAATTATTTTATCTGGTACCAATCTAAGCTCTTCTTTCCTTAGATGTTAGATGTGCTTGCAAAGAGAGCCACATTTCACACTGAAGGGTGTGTACGACATCAGTAATGTTATGTCAATTCCAAGGTTATATCGGTTGATGAGGAATTTATTGATTAGGCCTATAATAATAAATTGCATCAATTTATTTTGCAAAAACAAGGATTCCAGCTTCAGAGGGGGGTCACATCCCCTGTCCGCACAAGGGCACACATTGGCGCTAACACCAGGCCAATATTGGGTCAGAGTGGGTATTTATTTTATTTTTTTAATTTTTTATTTCAACCATCTTTAAAGAGGGTAACCCTTCTAGTTTAGCCCAGTAGGTTAACTGATATTCAGGGGCCCTCTTTAATAAAATTAAAGAACAGTACAAACAACATCATTACAACATAATAAATATAAGCATTTTCATCATGGATTTATTTATTACAAACATATTCTTTCACCATCTATATACATTGAGGCCCTTCTTTTAGGTGAAAATGATCTATCTTAAATTTGTCTTTCTTGTGTTTAAACAACTTAAAAGGATAAAACTAAAAAAGCCCTAAAAAATGCACGCCAAGCGCGCAAAATATTTTGTGTTTTTAATTCTAATTTCGTCGGAATTGATGAACACTCCCTAAAATGTGCAATTTATAGAGGAAATTGGCCTACCGTAACAAGAAATGCGCACAAAGAATTTAGGCACTTTCAGAGGATGCATTTGTCAAGGGGTAAGGAAAGATTTTCCAAAGGTGGATATTTTCCCCTTGTCCCCCGGTGTTTTTAATTCTAATTTCGTTGGAATTGATCAAAACTCCCTAAAATGTGCAATTTTTAGAGGAAATTGGGCCATGTTAACAAGAAATGCGCGTGAAATTTGAGGTTTAGGCACTTTCAGGGGATGAAAAGGCATTTATAAAGGGGTGGGGAAGATCTTTCAAAGATAGATATTTTCCCCTTGTCCCCCAGTGGTTACGCCATCGGACAGCATAGATCAAAGGAGTTATGACAGTTTTTGAAGTGGAGAAGGGGTTGCAGGGTGTTGTGAGTCTGGTCATTATGATATCTTCCTTTTTATTCTTGTCTTTATTTTTCTCTTCTCTTTTTCTTTCCTTTTTTTTCCCTCTTCTTTGTCTTTCCCTCCCTCTCCCCTCTTTCTTTTCTCTTATTACCCAGCCCGGTACGACGGCTTGGGCAGCCCGGTAAAAACCGTCAGGGGAGGGACAGTTTCCCCCTCCCCCCGCACCTGTTACGACACTGGCTAACACGTCAACTCCTCTGTAAACACCATCTCACCTTGATTTCTACGATATGGTTTATGAAAGCATAACTGTGGAAAGTCCTTCCTTAAACCGTACTTAAGTTGATCAGTTCTGAAAAATATAAATTACATTATATTTAAATAAAATTCAAGTTAAAATTTTGGCCTCAACACAAGAAATATTTCATAGTTTTTCTGTATATTAAATTTACATCTTATTTACCAATTTGGCAATTAATTGCTTTTGCTAATAGTCTATTTACACATAATAATCTAACTATTTACTGCCATGGTTTCCTAATACTGCTATAAATAATTTCAACATTTCTAATTTTTTTTTAAATTGTGTTTTGATTTCTTAATATTTCTTACCTGTAATTTGTCATTTCAAGCCCTTCATGCTTTTTAACAATTTTTGAAAACAACTGAAGTAACTTGGTCATCCTTAAAATCTCATGGTTCTTGATAATTCGTTGCTGGATGATTATCTCAGAGAAAATTTTGTACGACTTGTCATATTGGTGGTCCTCATCGGTTCTAAGCAGATAAATAAGGGCAAATTGTTAGATTTTCACTCCCATCCGCATCAAAGATTTGGGGAATATTGATGCAGGAATTAAAAAAAAAAACATTTTTTACCGCATTAATTATTTTAACAGCTTAAAAAAAAACAATGCAATTTTGTGACTGGAAGTATACTTTCTTTAAAAACCAATAAAATTAAATTACTTTTTACACAATATGTACAATATTCTTTGCCAAATAAAAACAGACCCTCCCCAGCTAACAATACTACGTTATAAGAACGTTATGATAACTTTACAGTTCAATTGGTGATAAAAATGTTATTTTATAGAACCATTATGTACATACTTACAACCTAATTTCACAACCTCACAACGTTTAAACGTTCTTACAACGTTGTGTGAAGTTTATTTTGTGACATACCTAACCACAACATTCGCGAACGTTATAAAAATGTTTTGTGTTTGCTGGGTCCCTCATCAATAAAAAAAAAACAACATTCTATTGTTCTGATTAAAAAAAAAAAAAAAAACACGAACCACAGCTTAGGGGGTGGGGGGTTCTAGTGGGTGGCTAGAGGTTCATCTTTCCCCACCCCCGGCCGCCCGTCGGCTATCGCCGCTCCTGATCTAGGCCTATATAAAGTTTGTCCTTCAATTTGAAAACGGTTTGGGAACTGAGGGTGGTCTCAGGGTTCTATTGATAGTAGAGACCACGGTTAATATGTAGTCACTGAACGTCTGTGATGGACGATCGAGACAAATGTGGTCTAAGTTATAATCAATTAAGAAATTCATTACCATGAAATTTAAGATTGAAACATAATTTTATACAATGTGTATCAATGGCAGCGCCAGCGTGGGTCCATGGGGACCAAGACCCTTCCCCCCCCCCCCGTCCTGGATCAGGCCCCCGTCGGGAAACCCTTGGCCACGTCGGGGTTTTTGAACAGCATTTTCACACTTTGTGAGTAACATTTTGACCATACCGAGGTGCCTATATAAGTAGTTTTCTCAAACTCAGTGAGGTCATTTAGGTGATGTTTAACTGCTTTACCGTGATTTAATTTTTTTTTTTGGGTGTGGGGGAAGGTGGGGGGGGGGGTAGTGCGCACCCTTAGATACGCCACCGGATTTCTGACCTACCAGCAGCCACCGCAGCAGCCTTTTCAAAATCAAGCTTTAATCAAAGTTTTATTTCTGAAATTTAATTCGAGAATTTTTCATTTTCATTTTTGCAAAGATCCATAAAGGTCTTCCATCTTTCTGAAAGCTAATCCTCTAAGTAGATACCAAACCCCGAAACCACCATAAACTCTGAGGTCCCAAAGTGCTCTCGAATTGGAGGACGAACTGTAGGCCTACTATACAGTGAATGATGATATATAATTATAAATTAGTCATTAAAGTCAGGCTTCGGAGGGAAAAAAATGATCTGTTGTAGAACTGATTTTTCTAAGACAAAAAAATGTTTGACGAAAAAATGAGGAACGGTGAATGAGGTACACTGCATGTTGTTGAATATTTCGAAACTGTGGAAGATTTTTTTACACCTTTTCCCCCCAATTTTTAAATATTCAAAAATCTGTATCTCATTCATCCTTCCTCAGTTTTTCGTCAAACACCTTTTTTTGTCTTAAAAAAATCAGTTCTACACATCAAAATAGATTTTGTTGTATATTTTCGATTATAAATTATTTAATAATTTTGATTAAGAATACTATTGAGCGAAACAGCGCATTTATAAAAAGATAAACAAAATTCATTGAAATAAATATTTTTATTAGTAAAACCATGATATATCCGGTGTGTAAACCACCGTTCAATAAAAAAAAAACACAAAAAAAAAAAAACCGATAGTAAATTTATACAGTATACAGTACGTACGAAAGGCCATTAATGCCACTAAAATGTAGGTTCGGTAATCCGTAATTACGAATTACTCATCCGTTATTACGAATTAGTAATTCGTAATTACGGATTAATAATTCGTTATTACTGATTATTAATCCGTAATAAAAGATCCGTAATTACGAATTAATTAATCCGTAATAACGAATTCGTAATTACGGATTACTAATTGATGTATTATTATTGATGTAAAATAATAAGTCGTTATTACGGATTACTTACCGGTAATAACGAATTAATTAATCGTAATAACAGATTAGCAGTTTGTTATTACGGATTACTAATTCGTATAGAACAATAATTCGTTGTGACATATTATATTCAGCTCCTGGGAATCTCGACGACCTCGTTGAACCCCATTGAAATATGGAACGCCGTTAGTAGGTCTATCTTCGGTTATGTGCAAACAGTCTATTACGGTATGTGTTTTGGACATGACCTTATGTGGCTTGATCATGAGGTCATGCGGTTTGGTCATGACATTATGTGGTTTGGTTCATGACGTTATGTGGTTTGGACATCTTTATGTGGCTTGGACATGGCGTTATGTGGTTTGAATATGACGTTATGTTGTTTGGACATGACATGTGGTTTCGACAGATGTTAGTACGTTTCGACGTGACGTTAGGACGTCCTTGAGAGTATGTGAACACGACTTTACCGCGCATTGGTAGACATTTTGAATTGATGACAAACAGCCAGTGTGTGTGTGCATAGAGAAAATAGTGTGTGTAATAATCAACAAAAAAATAAGATAAGCTTCGAGGCTAAATTTTTCACATTATAAGTTCATACCTCCTATGG